ATACCACTGAATCAGCTCTGTCATTGAGAACATTTCTATCAACAGAGTTAGGGGTCCAAATGAGCCGAATCAGAGAGAACTTCACAAGGAGATTCCTGACTCTAACTACACTGCCTTACAAAATGATACATGGACTTACTTCTTTGCAAGAAAGCAAAGAGTTGAATAGCTACATGGAAGGATTTGGAAGAAAGCAAAGAGTTGAATAGCTACATGGAAGGATTTGGAAGAAAGCAAAGAGTTGAATCGCTAGATGGAAGGAATAAGCCTATTTTTGTTTAGAGAATCCTGGCTCAGCAACATTCATCTTGTCTAAGTATCTTCTCTGGCACCTCTTTAAGGTTGAAAATATCAGTTCCGCCCTAGAGAATGCATTTTAATTGCATCTGCAAGAAAAGAAAATAACATCTTTACTATTTGTGAATTCTCAGAGGTTTGATGGGCTTCACCCAGTGTTTTACAGCTGTTTAGATTTGAGGATGACATGGAAATGCTTTTGGCATAAAGATATCCATTGTAGGGTTACTTACAACAACAGAAACCGGGAATGACCAAACTATCCAATTATGAAACGAATGGTTAAACTCTGATAATCATCCTTAAGCAGCCATTGAAAGTAGTTCATAAACAGATTTTCGTAAAATGGAAAACACCTATGAAATGCTGATTAAAAAGACAACATTAAAAATTGCATATAAGCTCCCTGGCCCTGCCTTTCGCTAGGAAGGTACCCTAACAGCAAACCATCAGGCCAGTCATCCAAGCCACATTCTCCAATAGAGCTTTATCAGTGGTAAACCCAGGCTCCGATTTCCATCAAAAAGAAAAAGAAATTCTGCATTTATAGTATGACCTCAACCATGTCTAAATAATATTAAAAAAAAATCCATATGGAAAGGAATCAACAAGTACTTTCCAAATCTTATTTAGTGAACACATTAATTTTATTTTTAAAATAAATATACAAATAAGAAATATGCCATTTCAAAAGGCAATACAGGAAATTTGCCTTATAGTATTCCCTGACACAAATCATATATTGTAAATTGTACATCTACATCAAGAAAAGCAAATTGATTTCATCTTGTAAGCCAATTGCAATTGATTAGTAGCATCTGTGTGAGGATGTTGAGATCTAATCTAAGATTAGTAAAAGAGACTTGATTTCTTTGTAATGTTTGCCATTGGAATATGTATGAATATTGCATATTTTCTGATCTTGCTGAAATGCTCTACCACAGAGTTGACATAAAAGGAAGAAAAGTGGGGGAATATGGTTGGCAGAATAACGGCCCTCAGAAAAGTCCACATCCTAATCCCCAGAACCCGTAAATTTGTTACCTAGAATGGCAAAAAGAAATGAAGACTGCAGGAGGTATTAAGTTTACTAATCATCTGAGCTTAAGATAAGGATATTCATTATTGTGGGCTACCTCAGTGGGTTCAATGTAACCACGAGGATCCTTAAAAGTAGAAGAGGAGGCAGAAGAGGAGAGTCAGGGAAGGAGACATGGTGATAGATGTCATGTTGCCAGCTGTGAATATGAAGGGAGTGGCCATGACCAAGGAATGCAGGTCATCTCTAGAAGCCAGAAAGGTAAGGAAGTGGATTTTTTTCCCAGAACCTCCAGAAAAAATGCACCCCTGCCAACACCTTGATTTTATCTTAGTGAGATGTGTGATAGACTTCCAAACTACAGAAATGTAGGAATCAATCTGAGCTATTTTAAGCCACTAAATTGGTGGTAATCTGTTACAGCAGCAATAGGAAATTAACACAGAGAGTGGGAAGGGAATACAACAGGGAGAGAGTGATTACCAGTATTTGGATGAAGGGTTGGTATGAAGCAATTTCATTTTACTTTGTCAGTCCCAATTAATTGAGAAACACCACCTAAATTGACATGCATTTGATGAGTACCCTAACTTGTGGGATGAGAGAAACTAAGGCTGGATTTCCTGTTTCTCACTCAGGTCTGAATCTCATTCCCATCTATAGTACCATTCAATAGGGAGGAAGCCAAAATCCACAGGGAGCCCAAGGGAAACCAGCCATGACACCAGGTCCAGCTCAGTGCAGCAGGTCCTGAGGCCCAACACTGGACACCAACTACGTAATGGCAGAAGTTAATAATACATATGTGGCCAGGCGTGGTGGCTCACGCCTGTAACCCCAGCACTTTGGGAGGTCAAGGCAGGTGGATCACGAGGTCAGGAGTTCAATACCAACCTGGCCAAGATGGTGAAACTCCATCTCTACTAAAAATACAAAAAAATTGCCTGGTGTGGTGGCAGGCGCCTGCAATCCCAGCTATTTAGGAGGCTGAGGCAGAGAATTGCTTGAACCCAAGAGGCGGAGGTTGCAGTGAGTCGACATCACAGCACTGTACTCCAGCCTGGGTGACAGTAAATAATAACAACAACAATAATAATACAAAAGTGAGTGATTCCTGAATTGAAACTACCCCCAAATCCATTTCCTCTGCACATAAACCAGATAGTCCACAATCTTAAAAACAAAACAAAACAAAACAGCAACAATAAAAACCAATAAGTATTTCAGGGCAAAAAGGCTATTTCAGCTAGGTCTGGTTAGGGAAGGAAAATGTTTCACAGTGAAAACCAAGGAATGATTGCAAAGTCTAGTAGCAATGCTGCAAAAGCCAGGAAAATAATTAACCTCACTGGGTCTAATTTTCTCACCTACAAAGTGAAATTTGCCTTAGCTCTCTATTCTCTAGCACAATAATTGCACTAGTCCCCCAAAGAAGTACACCTACACGCTGTGAAATGTGAAATACAGCTCTTAATTTTAAATATGTACACAAATATGCATAACACTAAAGACCATTCTTGATTCAGACACTGCCATGATCCCACTAGATGACATATGGGTCCTACCTAAGAAACTCATGGTCAGTATAGGTGATTTTAAAAAGCAGCTATATAAGCAATACCTTTCAACATCCTTAGTTTCTCCAGTTTCTCCCTTTCTGCCCCCAACAAGTAACTGAGAACATGCAGTGAGAAAAGCACAGGACTAGGAGTGAGAGGATGAAGTTCACATTTTAGCTTCTTCACTTCCTGGACATTGAAGGCGTTCCAGCAGATCCCTCTGAGTCTCCCTCTGACAAATCACAGTCTTCAACTACAAGAGAGGGAACCATGAAAACTCACCTCCCACAAGACTGTTCTGAGCATAAAATAAACTTGCCAGTGGGGAAGGTCCTTGTCACTTCAGAAGTGCTGAATGCAGGTGAGTCAATATCATCATGGTGACTGAAGTCAGTGGATACAGGCATGGCAGAAAAGACTGACAGGTGATCAGTTAGCTTCACTGAGGTTTAGAATCTTCATATTTCAAAGATGGAAGATAATATGTACCAAGAAGGAGATTCTAGATGATGAACATGAAGTTCCTGGTACATTGCCAGCACACAATGGACATTCAACAAACACAAGCTTCTCTAGTGCTTTCTTTCTGTGTCCTGACCAAAAATCAGGGTGCCCTGACTGCTCTGTGAGCCCAGCCAGCTGCCAGATTTCCCAGTAGGCTTGAACCAGAACTGAAGCCTCAAACAATTCTCAGGCACCAATAAAAGTATCTAGGTTGTTCATGGTGAAACCCTGTCTCTACTAAAAATATAAAAATTAGCTGGGCGTGGTAGCAGGCTAACTGAGATACCCTGTAATCCCAGCCACTTGGGAGGCTGAAGCAGGGGAATCGCTTGAACCTGGGACACAGAGGTTGCAGTGAGTCAAGACCGTGCCACTGCACTCCTGCCTGGGCAGCAGAGGACTGAGACGCCCTCTCAAAAAAAAAAAAAAACAAAGAGGAGTATCTAGATTGTTGCCCAAGACACCACTGAAAGAAACAAGCCTTGGCCCTGAGCCAAATTCCGTTAACACTCATAACACTCCATACCCTGACCACCTCTGGACCAAATTCCGTTAACACTCATAACACTCCACACCCTGACCACCTCGCTGTGGACATACCCAAGCGGAACACCCGAACCCTGTCCTCTTGCTGTCTGTGGCAAGGACTCAGTAATTGCTTTAAACAAACCACCCCAGCGTTTAGTGCTTCTTTGTTTGGAATCACAACAGGCCCTATATCAGGATGGTTTGGGGCACTGCCTGGTAGGAATTCCACTGCTACCACTTTTGGGGTGATTCCAGCTGCAAGTCCAGCGGGACAAAACAGATGCCCCGCCGTCCCTCCCACTTTCTATGATTCTCTGGGATGAAATGGCAGACACAATTTCAAAAACCATTTTAGAGCAACAAGTTTACAAATGGAATGATTCCTTTCCATGTGTGCCATGTGTGCCATGCTGCTGTGCCAGCAACAGCAGTAATTTTAAGGGTCAAGTTTTCCCAAGTGCTGAGCAGAACATTTTACTGAACAAATTACTGGACCCTAGTTATTGTTGTCAGTAACTGCATCATAAGCAGTGGCTAGGCAGGCAAGCATTACCACTCACACTGAAGAAACACCAATTAGAGGTATTAAAAGAATATGGATGGCCACCATCTCCTGAGCGCCTGCAACATGCTGGGCACTGTGGTGGACACTCCTGAACACAATCTCCAGTTTTTACAACTGCTTGTCGGGTGGGCTTCATCACACCTGCTTTATCAGGTGACTCACCTGCGGCAATCCAGGATCTGAAAGCAAAAATAAATGTCCCTAAAGCCTGCAAGCCTTCCTCTAAATCATTCCAGTGCTTTTATGCAAAGACTGTGCCTTTTCTTCTGTCTGCATCCTCTTACGTATCTTTGACTTGGTTTCCAAATTACAGAGAAATGCTACGCTTCTGGAACGAGAGAGCACAAATAAACTGCACTATGCCTCAGACTCCATGTGTACCAGCTAAGGGGACCCCAAAGTGAAGGTAACGCCAACAAATAATGAAAGAATGCTTTCTCCATCTTCACTTTGAAAAGTGATGCCTTTTCCGCCTGAACATCTGCCTCCTTCTCCAGAGCCCTCTTACCTTGAAGGAGACATGCTGCTCCATGTGCCGCAGCAGCTGTGGCTTCTGGGCCGCTGTGTAGTCACACACCGTGCACTTAAACTGCTTCCCTGGAAAGAAGTGGAGGACAAGGTGAGCGTCGCCAGGCCAGCAGCTCCTACTGGGAATGAAGTGCCAGGCATGGAGCCAGGTACACAAAGGTGTTCCTTGCCATGTGAGGATCAGAATCTCAGAAGGGAACAGCGACGAGGTGCACAGGCACAATGCAGCACGCTCAGTCTTCAACAGCTGGGAGTGGAGAGGCGCTCCCTAGGGACGGAGAGGCACAGCCAGCTCCACCTGGGGAGGCCCTATGAGCAATGACATTCCATCAGGCTCCTAAAGAAAGAGTAAGGGTGTGTCCAGCTACCCAGAGAGAAGGGCATCGAGGGAGAGGAGCGCACACAGATGAGATTGCAGGGGAATGGACCACAGGGTGCTCAGGAAAGTGGAGCAGCTGCATCTTCCTTCCTGGAGTGCAGGAGCTGCATCATCCTTCCTGGAGTGTGAGCTCTGCGGAAAGTCAAGAGCAGGGCCGGAGAGGTTGCCAGCCCAGAATGTCAAGGGCCTGGACCATCTCACAAGGACCTCAGACATAACCCTGAAAGTCTGGTGAGTCTGCAGGATGATGGTCAGCAAAGTGCAGGATCTGTGTTGCAGAACTCCTAACTCTGGTTGGAGTGCCAAAGGCATTTTTGAGAGAATGCTAGAAAGAAAACTAGCGAAACGTAAACCACTGCTCTTAAAAAGATTAAGGTTTTAGCAATATTTAAACATTCAATAATGGGCTATGTTAAAACAAGTTAATAGATATATGAGGTACATAACATTTTGCCTCTGATTAGCATAAATAAAACCTCAACAAGCAATAATACAAACATGTGTAACCAAATGTAAATGTGGCCTACTTCGTATAGCAGTAAAGAATTCAACAAGCAGCTTCTAATGGTGTAAACCTCCTCCGGGCATGACAACCGCAGCCACTGTGGCTGGGTTCCCAGAAGCACTGGCTCCACCTAGAGCGCTCTTGTACCTTTCCCTCTTAGACATTCCCCTCCCCTCTCTTCACTGCCAGCTCACCTGGAAACCTGTTCTCACTAGCATGCCAAGCCAGTGGCGGATTTTGGCCTGTATGTTACTGGATGACTCTTAATGTGACTCCATTAAGAGTTCACCCTTTGGAAATCTTCTGTTGCTTTGACTCCATAACAATACCCCCTCTCTGGGCCTCTCTATTCATTTTGAGTATCCCTGAGGCATTCTCTCTCATCAGGGCACATATCATTAGGCTGCTGATGTTCCACAGTGTTCCAGCCTACGCTCCTAGTCTAACTCTGCAAGCATCCTTGCATATAACTGACCCCTACAGGCTTTTGTAAACCTTTGATGCCAAAATCAGCATCTTCTACTCTAATCTCTTCTCTGAATCTGAGACTTAAGTATACAACTGCCTGCTGGACCAGCTGAGTAGCTGTCCCAAATGTCCTAAAAGCTGGACACATCTTCTTCACCAAACAGCTTCCACCTCCAGCCTTCCCAGTTAATCACCCATCTGATCACCTACATCAGATACCCAGTAGCCTTCCTCAACATCTTTATGGCCCTAACTTACACTCACCTCATTTTTTTCAGCACCTGATTTCATCTCCTAAATATTTCTCATGTCTGTCCATTTCTCTTTATTTCTAATACCTCCACACCGGTTCAGGTCCTCCTCATTTTTTTCTTGGACAACAGCAAAAGCCCCTAAGCTGGTTCCCTTGCCTTCATAAAACACTACCATCCATCCATCCATCCATCCATCCATCCATCCATCCATCCGTCCATCCATCCATCCGTCCATCCGTCCATCCGTCCGTCCATCCATCCATCCATCATCCATCCATCATCCACAACCCACACATCTATCCACACATGCATCCTGATGCCTCATCTTCTATCCAGATGACCTACAGCATAAACCATCCCACAGTCCAGCCATGAGAACCAACCAATGGCCCCAACTTCAGAGCAAAGTTGACGTTCCAGAGTTCGGCAGAGAAGGCCTTCTAGAATCAGAACCAACTCTCCCCAACCCACCCCGCCCCTCTCTCTGACTTCCTCTTGTGCCTGTCCCCTCTGTATTTAGGCTAATAACAGTGGACTCCTTGAGTTCTCCAAACTTTCTGCCTTGCCTTTGCAATCTCAGACCCCTGAGCCTTTGCTAACATTTTCCATGCCTGGAAGGCACTGTCTCGCAGCATCTGGCCATTCTTCCTATTAATTCAGATTAATTCAAATCAAACACTCCAGTAACTGGGCCAAGAGGAAGCCCTCCACAGGCCCCCTACACACTGTTCACTCGCTTCAGTCTATGCTCCACCTCTACAGCCTTGTACAAGGCAGGGGCTGCCTTCAGCTGCCCATGGGCAGGGACCACATCTTACTCATCTTGGTACCCCAGCGCATGAGTGCACACACAGACTGAATATATTCCATGCATTTCACTAAACTGAACTGAGCAAAAATTTTGTACGTCTTATATGAACATCACTCTCAATAAGAGCAGCAAAAGGAAACAAACATTAATACCACAGTTGTATCTATTATTCCAGGTGAATGAACCCAAAATTCTAAATTTTATTAATTCTGCAAGCCCAAAGCGTAACAAAACTTTTTCACTTGTAAGTCACACAGTTACAATTAGAGAGCAATTAGAACTTAAAAAAAAATACAGTAACATCTTCTTTTAAACATAGGGCCACACATTTCTACACAGCTCCAGTCGAATCTCAGCTAAACACACTTCTCCACTGACACATGGCTCATGTGTGTACAGTATCCTTATGCTGGGCAGCCTGGGCAAAATCGTGCTGTGTTCTTCACCACTAGATTGGGGGAAGCAGAGCTAATGGAACCATTCTCTAAGTTGATAAATATTCTGTCATTCATTATCAAACACTTGGGTCAAAGAGTAACAGATTAAGTGCTAAAAAAGAGCCCTAAAATGAATACATAGTATTGCCTCCTTTGAAATCATGAGTCAGCCTTTTATGGATGTACTTCCAAGACTCTGCAAGAGACAAGAAAAGAAGGCAGCAGCTAAAAGCCATCCCTTACTGAAGCATCAGAGCCCTGGCAATAAATATTACCAACGTTTTCAGCAACCACAGCCAGCACCTATCAAATAAGCCTGGGAGAACACCTGACATAATTGTTTGCTGCCTAATTAAAATAATGGGATGCAGATTCATGACTAATCATAAAAGAGTAATACTTTGAGACCATCAGATGGTTTTCTATCAAGAGATTTCTGAGACTTACAGGCAGAGTCAGCTGCAAAACCTAGCGTTTACTCGAGGTGAGACTGACCTCAGAATGCTGGGAGATGCACATCGAATGGCTGTATGTGGATGCGAATCACCCAGAATACCAGGGGAAGAAAAGAATGACTACAAAGAAAAGAGGTTGACTGTTAAAAAGTAATTCCTTTTCCCCAAAATATACCTGGCTAGGTCTACCCACTGGACTACTAGGCATCATGAGTTGTGCTGGGGCATGACATGTACGATCTTACCATGCACCAAAAGCCCAGGAGGCAGGCAGTGTCACCCTTTCATGGATGAGGACCTGATATCAAGACTCTGGGTCACTTGTCAGATCACGAAGTGGTAAGTGGCAGAGCCCAGATTTGGCCCCCGGTCTGTTCACCCCAACACCATAAGAATCTTTTCAGCTAATAAGGGTGTGATACAATTTCCCAAATGGAAGGAGGAATTTATACCAGCAATGGCATATCTGTGCCACTAACATATAAGGTGACTACCCATCAGAAGGTGACTACCCATCAGAAAGGACTGCCCAAGAAGAGCCAGTTGCAGGGGAACTATGTTCTCTTTCTGGCCCTGTCCTGCTCACCCTGAGTGACCCTGGGTTCTTTTTTCTATGCTACTCAGAGGCCCCATCAGAAAAATGGGGAGGTAATCCCTGTCTGCTGTGAGGGTGGACTCAGGGACTGGGCCTGCAAGCATCTGAAAAGCAGCCCCCTGAAGGATGAGGCTGGGGGTGCATACAGGTGACCCCGCAGTGGACCGTTCAGCTGAGTGCAGTGTCCTCCAGGCCTGTACCTCCCTGACACTCCGAGACAATCCAAGTATTCAGTTCTAATTAAGCCAGCCTAAATCAATGTACCTAAAACAAAAAGCATAAAAACAGAGCAAAGGAAAAGGTTTGTACAACTATACCAAAGTGTAAGTAAACAGTTGTAACAGCAGAGTTTACAGAAAACCTCCTCCTCCTCCTATTCCCAACACCCTATCTGGCCTCATCTCCACGCAGAGCAAAAGCCAGGAGCTTCGTAGTGGCTGCAGGGCACAGGGGTGTGTGGCTCCCTGTCACCTCTTGGAGCTCATGCACTGCCTTCACCTCTCTCCACTCCATAGACACAGTCTACCCACCCACCTTCAGACCTCTGCACCTGCTGTTCCCAGAGCCTGGGGTGCCCATCCCAGATATGCCATGCTCTGTCGCCTCATCTCCCTCAAGTCTCTGTTCAAATGTCACCTTCACACTCAGTCCCTTCAGCCCATTCTGTTTAAAATCACAGTCCCTATACCCCTTTACTGATTCATTTTTAGCATTTCTCAGCTTATATTTTCATACTGAAATGGGGAATCATTTCATATTCATATTTTTATTTTCATCTCTCAATTTTCTTAATATTCTAGATGTCTTCATATTTCTACTGTAATATACCACACACTTTATTGATTTATAGTGTTTGTTAACCATCTCACTCACGAGAATGTTCGCCTCATGACAGTGGAGATTTTGGGTTTTGGCTTTGGTTGCAATCACCGAAGCAGTGCACTGATTCACCTTGGTTGGTCCATCTGGCACCCTTGCAGGTTGTGGGGACTTTGAGACATGACTGCAATTTTCATGCCACGTCCTCAGTGCTTGGAGGTGAGAGCATCCTGGAGGTAAGGCTAGCAGTTAATTTATAGGAGCACCCCATTCAGAAGTCTGTTCAGCCACCCTTTCTCCCCTCCCCCTAATCAACATGGTCACACAGGGCATTACAAGGGCCAGT